AAATAACCAAATCTTTGCAAACTGTCCCACAGAACCAAAAAGGAACAAGCCTTTCCAAACTTCCCATTTTACAAGGCCAGCCTTTCCTTGATTCTAAAACCAGAGGATGACACAATTTAAAAAAAAAAAAAAAAAAGAAAAGAAAACTCTACGCCCAGTATCCCTGATGAAGGTAGAGGCAGAGATTCCAGCAAAATGCTAGCAGATTGACTCTTGCAAAACATCTTTCAGCATGATCATGTGGGATTCATCCAACGGATGAAGGGATCAGTCAATGTAAGCAAATCAATAAGTGTAACGCATTAACAGAATGAAGGATAAGAGTCATATGATCACAGAGAAAAAGCATTCAACAAAATTAAATAGGCATTTACACTGAGCAAATTAAGTATAGAAGAAACATACCTCAACATATGTAAGGCTGTGTATGAAAAGCCTATAGCCGTCATCAAGTTGAATGTGGAAGAGCTGAAAGCATTTTCTGTAAAATCTGAAACTGAGACAAGTATACTCACTGTCACTGTACTTATCCAATCTAGTGCTGGAAGTTTTAGCCAGAGCAGTAAGGCAAGAGAAAGAAAGAAAAGGCATACAAATATGCAAGGAGGAAGTCAAATTATCCCTGTTTGCAGATAATAACTATTCTATATAAAGAGAAAAACCTAGATCCCACCAAGAGACTAATAGACTAGATAAATGCATTCAGTAAAGTTGCAGAATACAAAATAAACATGGCAAAATAGCAGCATTTTTATACACCAATAATGAGCTTGTTGAGAGATAACTACATTTACAACAGCTGCAAAAAAAAAAAAAAAAAATAGCAGCAGTGGATGATGCTCAGGTATTTGCACTCTTGCCACTTATGTGGGAGACCTGAATGGAGTTCCTGGCCCTTGGCTTCAGCCTGGCCCGGACGCAGCCATTGCAGCCATTGCAGCCATTTGGGGAGTGAACCAGCAGATGGAAGACCTCTGTGTCTCCCCTCTTTATTCTCTGCCTTTTGATAGATAATTAAGTAAATCTTTTTTTTTAATTAAATAAATGTCCACATGGATGTGAAAGCCTTCTAAAGTGAAAATTTTGAAGAAAAAAATACGAATCAAAGATATTGAATGGACACCAAAAAACGGGAAAACCTTCCCTGTTGCACCTTTTTTTCACTGAATCTCAATTCTTTGGACAAATGGTTTCTCAAATTGCATCAAAACATCTACTAAAGAACAAAATTCTGTAAGTGTAGAGCTTGATTAAGTCTTACATGTGTCTATTCCCACATGTCAATGCATAATCAATATGTAATGTTTTAGCACCCTAGAAGGTTCTCTTGTACCCCCCCCCAGTTCATATCATCTTTCAGATATAACCAGTATCCTTATTTCTTCTGTCACTATAAAATTAGTTTTGCGTATGTCTGAACTTTTATAAATGGAATCTTTTATGTCTGGTTTCTTTCACACAAATTAGGTCTGTGATGATTCATCCAATAATGTTGCAAACAGCTATGTAATTCCTTTTTTCATTGCTATCATATTATGTGAATATACCACAGTTTATCTATTTTAATGACAGATGCTGTGGATAGTTCCTGTTGGGGAATATTTTGAATAACGATTTGTTGTTGGGCATAAGCACTCACTCCACAGAATGTACTTAGAGGTCTAGAACTTCAGGAGACCCTACAATGGATTGTTGTCCCTCTCTGAGGGTTTTGAGATGTCTTCCTGCATTTAGTGAGTCTGAGCTATTGCTTGAACTTGTTATTCTTAATATTTATGTCTTTCCCTTGTTCCACCACTAAGCCACAGCATTGAATAAGAGTGATTATAGCACCAAAAAAAAAAAAAAAAAAGGTATAATTGTGCTAGATGGAATGTGAGTGATCTTGGGTTCAAAGGGAAGTAGTATGGATATAGGATGCAGTTCTGTTACCTCTGTGGTGTCAGCTTCAGTTCCATTTTCTTAATACTTAATTTTCTAGTGGACAGGAATCAAAACAAATCTTCTCTCTAAATAGTGAATTGTTTGGGTTAAAGGGTTAGGATAGACTTGAGAAAGCTAACAAGTATTTGATTTCCTGCCAAGAGTTTTTGCCTTTCATTTAATACATTTAGTAAGTGAATAATACTGTGGTGAACCGGATAAATAGAACTTAATGGGCAAGCATTTAACCTAGGAATTAAGACTCCCATGTCCCACCTCCAAGTACTTGAGTTCAATTCCCGGCTCCCGCTCCTGATTCCAGCTTCCTGCAAAAGCCCTAGAAAGGCAGTGGTGAGACTTGGATTGAGTTCCTGGCTCGGGGCATCTGCCCCAGCCTGGGGCCTGTTGCAGGTTCTTGGAAAGAACTAACAAGATGAGAGTGTTCTCTCTTCTTCCTCCCCACCCTCGACCCTCTCAAATTAAAGTTACAGAAAAGAACTTAGACTGAAGGGAGACAGACCACTCAACAATTAGAACCCATCTTGGGGAAAACACCAAACGCTCTGCAACCATAGAGTGGTACCTCGACCGGAACCGGGAGTGTCAAGGATACTGTCCGCAAGAAGGAACTCATCCGATCCCCAGGAATCAACACGGCTGACTAAGAGGGCTGCATTGGGGGAGTGCTCCAAGCAGAGAACAGTACTGGCAAGGGTGGAAGCTGGAAAGAAACACACACACACACACACACACACACACACACACACACTGAGGAATCTTAGAAACATTAAGAGTCCACCAAAGCTGGAGCATCAAGTGTATGGGAGAGGAGCAAGAGAGAGAGCTAGAAACAAACAGGTACCAGATCATGAAATGCTTAGAAACTGAACAGCAGCTACCAGCCAGCATTTCTGAGGAGTGAGCCTCTGCCAGGCTCTGGGTTAGTCACATTTCATGGACTCTCCTGACTACTATTTCACATCTGTAAGGCCCGGGTGCATCGTTACGGATAAGAAAGTGAAGGCCACAGGAACCGCCCAGGCTCTTACTGCCTGTAAAATGGCAGATTGAAGTCTGAGACTCATGTCTCGTGGTCAGAAGGCCCATTCCTTTAAGCACTGTGCAAACTGTTTATCCTGTAAGTTCTGCTGCTTGTATGTGGTCATGTCTTGTTTTACAGGGGTCATTTAGGGTAGTTATTTCTCAAACTTCAGTAATCTACAAATCCCTCTTAAAGTAAAATGAATTTTACGGATCTTTAGTAGTGACTGAAATCACTTCATGTTCCTTAACTGTTGATATAATGAAGAATACATATTTGGTCTCTGTCTCCATTTCCTGACACAGAGTTTCCCAAGACCTTATAATTTTCTGAACGACAGGGGTGCTAGAAGCATCCTTTGTTCTAATATTTCATCTTTGAACATAGTTCCTGACACAGAGATCCTAAAACCCCTGAGATTTCCGGAACGTGAAGAGCATCTTTTGTTCTAAGGAAGCAATTCTTGCTGGGCCCCTGGAGTGGGGGTGCTTACCAGGAGGTCCAGGACAGGATTGGAAGCCTGGAGCCTTCAGCCCCACCCCCTCACCCTCCAGGGAGGGGCGAGGGCTGGAGATTGCACTAATGATTGGTCACACCTGTGTGATGAAACCTCCATGAAAATCCCTAAAAGAACTTTCTGGGTTGGTGAATGCCAGCTCCCCTGCTTGGGACCCTTCCCGACCTTGCCTCTCACCTGGCTGTTCATTAGCAGACTTCTTCATATCCTTTAATAAACTGGTGAATGTTTTCCTGAGTTCTGTGAGCTGCTGTAGCAAATTGTTAAACTTAAGGAGAGGGTTGTGGAAACCCCCAGTTTGTAGCCAGCTTGAACAGAAGCGTAGGTGGCGCTTGGTGTCTGAAGTTGGCAGTCTGAGGAAAACTGGGCTCTTGTCTTGTGGGGTCTGCAGTCACTGAGTAGCTAGTGTCAGAATTAAGTTAAATTGTGTGTGGGACACCTGGTTGGTGCCCACAGAGAATGGGGAGTTGCCTGGCATGGGAAAACTACACTTCGTCTTCACAGACCACTTGTTTCCATGAGCCACGCTATTCCAGAAAACCCACTTTTTTCCTATGAACCATTCTATCCCAATTTCTGACACCAATGTTTGGTCCCTCGTACCTTTGCTACCGGGGCTGTGTGGAGAGCCCATTTCCTTCCCACACTCTTCTGTGTCAAACTTCCAGGAAACCATGGCACTGCTGGGCTTTGAAAACAGGCCTCTCATCTCATTAAATCCGCTAGTGGGATTGGAGGTGCACATCGACTGTGGCCTGAGAGAGAGAGAGAGAGAATGTGTGTGTGTCATGTACTTACACCAGCCAGCAAAGACAGACTCTGACCTCTCTCAGTAGCCATTTTTGTATTTTCATGCAGCTTCAAGTCCAAGTAATAGAAGTGTACCAGTAGTAGCCTGAGACTCTCTGGAATAGAGTGGGGAGAGGCAAGAGGCTGAGGGAAGCAGTGGCTAACTTTGATGGTCACTGAGGTGCTGCGGGGACCATCTTCTGCATTTTGTTTTTGAGGTTTGATTTTTTCTTCTTGCAAACAGGGATATTAACATAATATGGGATGCATGACTGACCATAGAATGAGAAAAGAAGGGTATATTACTATGTAGGTGGTAGAACTCAGAGAAGACAATATTTATAGCTATCTGTATACCAAATAATGTGACAGCCACACAATTTTTTACCCTGTCTATATGTTAACTTCCACATACGTGAGGAAACTTGGTATTTGTCTTTCTGGGTGTGGCTTATTTCTCTCAGCATAATGATATCCAGTCCCATCCATCTTGTTGTAAAAGCCAGAATTTCATCCGTTTTTATGGCTGAGTAATACACCATACACACACACGTTTTCTTTATCCAGTCATCAGTTGACAGACAGACCTGGGCTGACATCATTTCCCCTGGATATATATTCCCAGGAGTGGGATAGCTGGGTGATACGATAGCTCTGAGTTTTTTGAGGGATCTCCATACTGTTTTCTGTACGTATTAATTTGCACTCCTTACTTTGGTTTTTCTGCAGGGGTTGGCACCAGGAATTATTATCGGAAGATTGGCTACAGATTACAAGGCCCATACATGGTGAAGATGCTGAAATAATGGCCACGCCCGTCCACCTTTGTGCAGTGTCCCCCCTGGCAGGAGACACAGAACCAAGGTTTCGTGGATACGCAGCAGAGAGGCCGAGCAGAGCAGACAGACCTCCCCTGTCCCCTGGCGCGGAGCCTTACCCTGGTCCTGCAGCCGCAAGGACTGGAAGTGGCCTTCAAGGGCAGGGCCACACAGCTGCTGCCTGGGCCCGTGTGTGCAGGAGGCCCCCTCAGTTTTTGGTGTAAATCATTTCTCCAGGTTCTGACTCCTGCATGAGGCCTACAGGTGACCTCTTCTGGCTCACGGTGACCAAAGCAAATTAATCCATGTCCTTTGGACATCATAACTTGTAAAATAAACTTGTGATTGTCATTTGAGGAACAAACTTAGAAGTAGGTTATTTCTATACTCCAGGGACTAAAAGCCAGGTTGGAACACATGACCTCTGTCAGACATCCATCTTGGGCCTTTAACTACATACGCCTTCATGCCCAAGTTGGGAAAAGGAACTTCTGTTTTCATGGAAATCGTCTCGGTTACCGTGCTGACGTGCAGCGACAGTGCGCTGCGGGTGAGCTGGCAGGTCCCCAGCCGCCTGCCTTACCCATTCAGCAGTCTGCCATCCAAAGCGGGCCATGACAAAGAGCCTTTTTTCCCCCATTTGTTACTGTCTGCACTTCCCACATTCTTGACACCTGGGGCACAGTGTGGGCAGCTCCCAGTGTTTGGCTTTCCTGTTCCCCGGTGCCAGCAGGGAGGGTCTGACATGCACACCCAGAGGCCAGGGGCCTGAGTCAGTGCTTGCTGTTATAGTCAGGCTGTTCCCTGCATTGTGATGCTTTAAGGTGGATTTTGGTTTCTGTTACATAAAGAAAGATAGGAGTTCAGTTCATACATGAAAACAGGAACATAGAAAACAAGCCCAGCTCTAAAAATAGCAAAAAGACCATTTTGTTTTCTTTCCGGAAGTTTGTCGTGTCTCTCTTAAACACTCATGGAATCTGTTACGGAGAATGGGCTAGAGAAGTCAGTTCCTAAGTTAAGAGCATGGCTTAACCCTCGGGCCTGCCTCTGTGCCGTTTCCAAAGCTTCGTTTAATGCAACGGATTCTTCCAAATGCGTGTGAAAATAAAAAGGCCTTAACAGACTGAGAAGTGTCACGTGGGGTTCTTTTCTCTCTCGCCCTGTGAACGCAGTGATCCACGCCATGCACGGCCCGGCTGCATCGGCCCGCCCAAGATGCTGTTCACTTCCTCCTGGGCGCCGGCTGCCATCTCCCTACACTGCTGCAGGCCGCGTGGCGGCGCCTGCTTCTGGGCGTGCTGCGGAACCACTGCTGCTTTCCAGGAGCGTGGCCTGGGGAGTTCTCAGCCATGCTTTTTTTCCCTATAAAACTATTGAACTAATAAAGTGAACACCATGCTGGCCGTGCCACATGTCACTGCAGCTGGACAGGGCGCCTGAGAGGCCAGCAGGCAGGGCTGCAGTTCACCTGGGCCTGCAGCACAGCCCTGAGGGACTCAAGGAACTCTGGGCTGCTCTTACAGACTCAGCCAGGTCAAAATGCATGGTGGGCGAGAAGGCCTTTGCGCACACGTGACGTTTACTTCAAGGGATGACAAATCTAGAGGCAGATTTTGAAGCAGCTGCCTAGGAGTCTTCCCCTTCCTAGAGGATATCCGGCATCTTGTGGTCCTTGGCAGGAGTCCCGTGGCTGCGCAGAGCTGCAGAAGCCTGAGTTCCTGCGCCCGTTCTGCCACTAGCAGCTCCTGCCTCGCAAGACTCGGCAGGGCTTGTCCTGGCCTGCGCGGTGTGCGGTGCCCCCGCTGCCTGGCAGCATGGGCCCTCCCAGGTCCTGTGCGCCTCCGCCCACAGGCTGCCCGAGGAGAAGGATCAGTCGGGTATGATCCTGCATCTTCACGAAACCAGCAAAGCTACAGCTGCTTTGTCATCTGTACGGAACACCTCAAGCCCATCAGCTTTGCTCCCAGTTCAACTTTTGCTCTCTCACCTGAGGGTTAAAAAAAAAAAAAAAAAAAAGGAAAGATGAACCATATCAAAAGACGTAGATTGTAGATTGAAATCTATTTGGATAGAAAATGAGATTTTAAAAACCCATTATCCCCAAGTAAAGGAACCTGGTGAAGCTCATGGTGTCTCAGAAAGGAGTGGACCCCTTTTCCATTTTCCATCCTTACTGACCCAGACAAGTACTGAAAATATACCTTGCAAACCAGAGTCAGTCCCTATGAAAACATCTTTCAGATTACAAATTCTCATGCTCAAAGTTGTCTGGGCTTTTTTTTTTTTTTTTTTTTAAGATTATTACCTAATTTAAAACACAAGAATTCACATACCCACAAGTTCATGACAAGAGCTCAAGATCTGGGTTCTGAACACCTGGGCCCTTCATTAACTGCAGCGACATGAAATAAATATCACTCCCTGACAGGGCAAGTGTGAGGACCGATCGCGGTCGTATTTGGGAGAGATTGCACAGTTAGGGGTCGGCACTGTGGCACAGCGGGTTAAAGCCCTGGTCTGCAACACCAGCATCCCATATGGGTGCCGGATCTAGTCCCAGCTGCTCCACTTCCCATCCAGCTCTCTGCTATGGCCTGGGAAAGCAGTAGAAGGTGGCCCAAGTCCTTGGGCCCCTGCACCTGTGTGGAAAAAACCTGGCTCCTGGCTTTGGATCAGCACAGCTCTGGCTGTTGGCGGTCATTTAGGAAGTGAGCCAGTGGATGGAAGACCTCTCTCTCTAGTCTGCCTTTCTCTGTAACTCTTTCAATAAATAAATCTTTAAAAAAAAAACACACAGTTGTCACTTCCCTAGTGACGCGACTTCAGAGACAAGGACCATAGGCAGGGAAGCTGCAGGTTGCCTCGTCTGGAAGATGGAGGTAACAGTGCCCCCTCCTCGCAGTGGCTGTGAAGGGTAAATGGCTCCTGCACGTGTTGTTCTTAGAACAGAGCCCAGGTAACCACACACAAAATGTAGAAGTACTACTACTGCTACTAGTACCCAACAAGCACAGCATCCGGCCCGTGTCTTCCACAAGGGAGTTTCTTGTTCACAATGGAATCTCCAATTGTTTGCTAGCATCTCTAAATTGTCCTAAAAGCCGAAGTCAGAAGAACAGTACCTGGTGCCTTGACACACTATCTCCCTCATCTGCTCATTGATCTTTGTTTCATTAAGTCTAGGGTCACAGATTGTCAAATCCGTGCCTTAAGGATCAAAACACTAGCTGGGCCGTGACAGCAAAAATGCACGTGAAAGCAACCCTGTCATCCTGGGGCCTCTCAAGAGTTGTCCAATCTATGCACGGCTGAGCCCTGCTGTGGGAGCTGGGAGCTGTGTCCACCTAGGGAATCCATCGGAGGGAGTTTGGCTGACTTTTATATAAGGTAAGGGTGGGCAGCAGGGGCACACGCTTTTTTTCTTAAGATTTATTTATTTGAAAATCAGGGTGAGGATAACTTCCATCCACTGGTTCACTCCCCAGATGGCCACAACAGCCAGGGCTGGGCCAGGCTGAAGCCAGGAGCTTCTGGGTCTCCCACATGGGTGGCAGGGGCCCAAGCCCTTGGACCATCCTCCGCTGCTTTCCCAGGCCATTAGCAGGGAGCTGGATCAGAAGTGAAGCAGCCGGGACTTGAACTGGCAAGGGGGAAACATTCCTACATATCAGTTGTGTACACCATCGAGACATTGTGTGTTTCATTCTTTGAAAGTAGCTTCAAAAACTCAAGTTTACAGACTTTTAAAGAATTAGATGTTAGCAGACATCAAATCTGTGTCTAAAAAGCATGCTGGGGCCAGTGCTGTGCTACAGTGGGTTAAGCTACGGCCTGCAATGCCGGCATCCAAAATGACTTCAGGTTTGAGTCCTGGCTGCTCCACTTCCAGTCCAGCTCCCTGCTGATGCACCTGGAAAACCAGCGGATGATGGTGCAAGTACTTGGACCCCTGCAGCCACGTGGGAGACCCGGGCAGAGTTCCAGCCTCTCCTGGGTTCAGCCTGGCCCAGCCCTGGCCACTGTGGCCATTTAAGGAGTCAATCAGTGGATGGATGGTTTCTCTGTCTCTGAAATTCTGCATTTCAAATAAATAAAACATCTTAATTCTGCTTCTCTTCAAACTCTAACTTTCTAACATGCTTGCTGGCTACCTGCTCCATCGCCGTGACCGAGACGTGCAGCTGTGTCTCCTGCCCTTCACTCCCCCAGCCGGGAGAGCCCTTCTGGCCGGCTGGAGAGCCTCCTCCTCCGGGGAGGAACGGTACAGGGCCAGGCCCGCGCTCGGCTGTCACACCTCTGCACGTTCTCCAGCCTGGGAACTCCTCAGTGCGTCCTCAGGGTTCCTGAGTCTCTGCCACTTAACAGTCAGGGACCTGGGCCGACGGCTTCCTCTCCAACGCCGTGTTGCCAGTGGCAATGCAGTCCCTGAAGTGTGGTTCTGTAGGATGACTCATGCCCCCGGAGCAGCCCAGCACCCCCCGGCTGGGTCTCAGCCTCTGCAGTCCCGACCACAGCCCCCGGTCACTGACTCAGCCTCCCCCTCCCCGCCCCTGCTCTGCCCACAGTTCCTTTCGGAGGGGGAAGGGGTTTTTTCACAAACAGGTATGGAGCAACAAGGCTGTGCCTTCATTTTTTACTTCATCCTCACAGCAGCCTCTGGAAGAACCCTCCCCGTCTTCACAAAGTCAAAGTAGATAATTTCATCAAGAGAGAACACAAAGTACAGAAAGAGTCTGTTCTTTATTTAAATGAAAATAACTCAGGTTCTAAAAATTATGCACACTCCTTATGACAAATGAAACTAAGACAGACAAGCACAAAAGAACCTGTAATCCCATCCTCAGAGACAACCGTGGTTACCGCTGTGATGAGCATCCTTCCAGCCGTCGCTCCGGGCACGCATGCGTGTGCACGCACACGCACACACACACACCGCCAGCATACGTAAAATAGATGAGCCATGCGTGTTGCTCTGGAGCCTGTGTTACTGAGCAGAATGAGAGGTGGCCGTCCTTCCCTGTCAGTAATGCCTGCTTCATCCTTACTGACAGCCCTCTCACTGTCTACAGTGTGCCACAGCTTGCAAGTTCATGTGTTAGGAACTTAACGCCCAATGCCACCGTGCTGAGAGCTGGCACCTTCAAAAGTGAGGTCATGACAGTTCTACCCTCATGCCTAGGTTAATGCCATTAGCATCGGAGAGGGTTATCTGGGGAGTGGGCTACGACAAAAGGCTGGGGGTGGTCCTCTTCCTTTCTCATGTGTATTCTCTTGCCCTGCTGCCTTCTGCCACAGAACAAGAGCGAGAACACCCTTCAGAGGCGGACTCCTCAGCCTGGCCCGGCCCCGCCTCCAGGACGGTCATGAATCTCCATTCCCTGTCAATTACCGGGCTCAGGTCCTACGTTCCGGCAGCCCAATATGGACAATGACAAGATGCCGTGACCTACCTACATACATCTTTGATATCCTTATAGATGCTCATTGTCCCAGTACTTAGAACCAGGTCTGAATTTGTTCACTCAATACTGAGAGTGGCTTCTCTAAATTTCCGCTCACAAGCAGTCACTCATCCGCGGCAGGGGTCCCCTTTGGCCCTCCTCTCACTGTTCCCACCCCAAGCCCTCCACTCCTTCATAACCCGCCGCGGTGCAGGTTGGGGAGAAGCAACCTGTGTGCACCTGGCCTTTTCCATTCGCCAGGCAGCAGCACGTTCGATTGAGAGCGAGTCCCATCACACGGAATGTCAAGACGCCGGTCCCCGTAAGGCACCGAAGCGTGAGCAGCCTTTATTGAGGTGAGAGGTGAGCATACCTTCTCTTTCCTCCACTGATGTAAGGCACGTCAAGTCTGCCCTCGGGGGAAGGCCATCTTCTCATCTCAGCTGCGAGGTTGGGACAGGAGAGCGCTCAGACCCAGCCGTGCCCGCTGGCGCAGGCAGGGGAGGCGCTCTCAGCATGGGACCCCCCCAACACCCCCCAAAGGGAGAACAGCCTGGCGTTCAGCTGCTGGGACTCCAAGTTTGCTTCCAGCTCTCCCTGGCTCTGCAGAGACCAGGATCCGGGTCACTATGTGTTTGGGGTATTGGGGCAATAGGCAAAAGGTCATCTCCACGTCCCTAAAG